AGCAACACATTGTAATATGTTTTGTCTTTAAGGCTGTTTTTCTATATGAAGATTGTTTTAAATCATCTAATAATGATTTTTTTTCCCCTAGTGTCCCTTTGGCTTGAATTTCTATGATTTTCATAGGTTGAACATTATTCTCATTTACTTTGAATATGAAAGCAATTTCATAGTTAACTATTATTAAAAGAAAGCCCTTTTCCATGCAATAATAAATTAATATTAGAAACAAATTATTGAAAACTAGGCCAGTCTGGGATAGAGGTCAACAGAATATGAAATTAAGTTTAGATGTCCAATTAAGAACATATGTAATATCAAGACCTCTTAAAACTTAGGAGAACAGAGCTGGCCGAGTGGTGCATTGGTTAAGAGTTGTCTTGGGACGCCAGCTCTGAGCAGCAGGGCCCCGGTTCAGATCCCACATTAGGGCCAGTGACTCTGCGCCCTCTACAGCTAAGATGGTGAACAACAGCTTGACCTGGAGCTGGGCTGCCATGAGTTGCCGGCACCGGTGTAGGCTACAGTGGAGCTGCAGTGGGCTCCCATAAGCTACCTTGAGCGGCCGGCAGCCAGTGTGAGCTGCCAAGAGCCGCTGTGAGCGGCCTTCCAGTGGCCAGCGACCGATCTGCCTCACCTGGGAAGAGCGCAATGATAATAACCAACATGGGCCAGTGAAGTGATGTCCTCCACAACTAGACTGAAGAACAAAAGGACAGCAACTTGTCTGCTCCCCTTCCCCGATTCCTCAACACTGTTCCCTCCCCCAATTCCCCAATAAAATCTTAAAACAAAAAACAAAAAACAAAAAACCTTAGGAGAACAAGTTCAAGGACTACAATTTAAGATACATTCTCGTGCTTGTTTCAGCAGCATATATACTAAAATTAGAACAATACAGAGAAGATTAGCATGACCCCTCTGTAAGAATGACATACAAATTTGTGACACGTTCCATATTTTTTAGGAAAAAAAGGTACATTCTAGTAAAAATTAGTGCGCTGAAATTTAATGTCATTTTTGGTTTAGAAGGATCTGGAGGAGCATTATTAGGTCCATTTTAAAAAGATAGTTACCAAATTGTAAACATAAAAATTTAAATATTTCATAAACAACCCTCAACCCCTGTTGTTATTTTTTATGATTAATGTAAGACAATCTGAGAATGATCAGGTTTCAAAGGACTGCAAAGTGACTCTCAGTGTCCTTACTTGTTTCATTTATTCAGGGGCTTTTATAGCATGCCTACTGTGTGCCCAGTACTATGCTAAACACCATTTCCTGCTTTTAAGTAGCTTATATGTTGTTGTAATTAAGTCAACCAACACTTTCACTAGAGAGTGATGAAGGCTATGAAAACAGTGTTACGGATATACTAATGAAGTTATTATCTTATTCAGCCTAAAGGAATTAATGATAAGTTTCCAAGAGATGGCTTTTTTTATCAAAAAGTCCAAGGACAAATAGGAATTAGTTAAGTGAAACAGGGAGAAAGAAGAGCCATGGAGTTGTGAAGAAATGGTGTTGTGAATAGGAAACAGAAAGTAATTTGGAATTGCTAGAGGTTTGGGTACATTAGGAAGGATGGCTTTCAGTCAGGCTGAAAGGTAGGCAGTGGGCTGGATTATGAAATACTATCTTTTATCACTGTGATAAAAGAGAAAATGTTTTTTATCCTGAATGTGTTGTGGTGGGGATGGAAGACTCAGACTATTTGAGGTATGGCAAGGAAACGATCAGCATTGCATTTTAGAAAGATGACTTAGTCCCCAGTGTGAAGGAAATGAAAATATAAGCAGGAAGGATCAGAAGTAGGAAGACCGTTGTGCTACAGTCTTGAAATTATGAGGGACTTAATTAAAATTGGATTCAGTGAATATATCTGGGGACTCTGGATAAAGAGAAAAGAGCCAGAATAGGCTCCCAATGACTTCTGAGTAGGGTCTTGCTTGTACAACTGGTTAGATAGTAATACTAATGTACAAAACTGGAAACTTTGGCCTTTAGTGAGGAAGATGATGTTTACTTTTAGACATGTTTATTTGTTGACATTTATGTGGTACCCAGAGATGCATAGTAGGAAGTTTTATGTTAGAGGTTTGAGGTAGTGATTAATAGATCTGGAATTCATTAACAGAATTAAATAAAGAGTAAGAAGACGACTGCTGATGTAGATTGACAAGAGAAAATGGATGAGGCCAGGACCCTGGGAGGTGCCATTTCCACATGTTTCTGTTGGCCTTTGAAGTGGCTGGCCTTAGAAGCTGGTCTTTGTATTATTTATTTCTGAGACTATGCAGTTCATTAATTCCAGAAACACTGAATGCCTGCTCAATACTCTGGGAGATATAATGGCATATTATATGAGCACACCAAATGTTAACATTTTCTTTTGCCTGATGTCTTGTATCGTGTGTTGCCTTTTCCTACTTTATCATTACATAATCAGAAATTTAACCACACCAAGTTATTTTGTTCTTCAAAAGGGAGAACACAGTGTACTATACACTTAATATTACTTTAAACTTGAAAGAAATCGGCAGCAGTGTGTATCAGCAGCAAATGTATTATTCGTAGTATATAAGTAGAGCTTTAGTATGAAAACAAATCTGAAGATGACCTAGCAGATAGATTCTAGTGTATCAGAAACTAGTAAACCTAAACTTACCTGGAATAAAATGCAATTAATAATATGGCTAAAAAGTTTTTGTTGAATGTAGTTATCTTTCTCCAAAATACTGATATCCAATGATTATATGCTAGATTATAAATTAGAAGCATATTGTTCTGTCATACTTTTCCCCCCAACAGGATTCTTGGGATGGCCAGCATATTCCAGTACTTTTCTCCATTTTTTGTGGTTTGTTAGTGGCAGTGTCCTATCATCTCAGTCGCCAAAGCAGTGATCCATCTGTACTTTTGTAAGTGAAATCAGTTGTTATTAAATTAAAGAAATTTAAATAAGTTGACATTTCTTTCTAATTTAATTTCCAAGTTATGTTTTCCCAGTGGCTTACAAAATGCTGTTGACTCAATCTATATTTGGTTTCAAAATAAATGAACTTTGGGTCATTCTAACCACATTGGCTGAAAGTATTTGTTAACTTTTTCTCTCCTAAGTATTAAAGCTGTGTTTTAATAAGAATATTCTCACTGTATGCTTATTTATGACATCTTAAACTTTTTTCGAATTTATCATTTGCTAATGATTAAGTATACTTGGATCACTTGGTTTTTTATTATAAACATTGCCATTCGAAGTACTGGTTTTCAAGTTATATATGTATTTTTTATTATTTTTCTCTCTTTTTCAAAAATATAAAGCTCTTTGGTGCAATCTAAGATTTTTCCAAAAACAGAAGAGAAAAATCCAGAGGACCCTCTTTCTGAAGTAAAAGATCCACTGCCTGAAAAACTTAGAAATTCTGTTGTAAGTTTTTTAAAAATCACTTTAAAAGATTTAAATTTTAGTTCATCGTGTTATATAATGAACACTTTTTTATGACCTTTAGTAATTGGGGGAAAATGTATAGCTATATATTACAACTATTTTTAGAGTTATATATTCTACATTGTTGATTGCCTTTATTTAAAATTTTAACATGTAAGAAATATACATTCCTCAAATTTATTTTATATATACATATATATAAAACATTATGCAAAACATTCATTTTTAAATCATGTGAAATTAAGTCATTTCATTGTTTATAGAATTCATAATCCTCAGTTTAGACTGGGATATGGGAAGATGAATATTAACATAAAGATTATGTTTTTAGTTTTCATCTTGATAAAATCCACATCCTTATAAGTCATCTGCTAGCCTTTTAGTGTGTTTCGTTTTTTAAGGGCAGTCTGAAAACTGTGTTTGTGTTTATTTTTCTGGTTGGAGGCGAGAACAATAACCTGTACTAATTTAATATACTTAAGTGTAGTCAATTTAAAAATTTTTCTAATTTAGTGAATTTTAATTTGGCCTGCATCCTTTTAGTAAATGTCTGAAAATGATATCTGTAGAATCATATCTGCTTTATGAAACAAAATAAAATTGTTTCCTAAGTTATTATATTATCTCCATTTGTAAAAGACTGAACTCGTGTATAGGTCTTGAGTTAGACACGATTTACCTTCAGTGAACTTGAGCTGTTCAGATATTCTTTAGAAAACTTTAGAAATACAAAACTGCGTCAAGACATAATTTAAACAATTTTTTCTGACTTTAGTTTCTGTGTTAGCAAAGGATATTTCATGTTAAATACAGTAGAATACTTCTGAATCTAGCTTAAAAGTATAAATTTATGGATCATTCAACAACCAAAGATATTAAGGTTTGTGGTTTTTACTACAACTACTAAAAGAACCAGAATCCAGTAAGTAAAATAGTACATATGCATGCAGTTCCAACATTTCAAAAGACCAATGAAAATATAACTTTGTTGTCCAAAAGGATATGCCCTATAAATGATATAGTAACTTAAGTACCTCTTTTTCTTTTCCCGTATCTAAAAGTAAAACTTATAGGCCAATGGGGGTGGGAAATACACAGCTTCATTATAAAAAAGACTTTGTTATGATATGTTATATTATGTGTGGAACTAGATGAGTTAGTTTAATTTCTTTGGTATTGCAGTGTCAAACTAAATATTAGGAAATTGAGGAAGAAAATAAGACTTGTAGCTAATTATAATACTATGTAAGAAATACCTAAAAGTGCTAAACAAAATAGGACCGGTGAAAAATTGTTTGTTAAACTTGGCCAGTTGGGAACAAAGAAAATATATATTTTTAAGTTTTTGTGATTGTTCGGTAATTCTGTTTTGTTTCACAGAGTGAACGTTTACAGTCTGACCTAGTAGTATGCATTGTAATTGGGGTGCTGTATTTTGCTATTCATGTAAGCACAGTGTTCACAGTATTGCAGGTAAGGAATCATTTCGTTCTTTTGGTTGAGGGAAAATAGCTTTGTTTGGACTCCTTTCTGATTTGCTTGTACTGTTTGTCCATAATGCTGAAATAGATGAACTTCCCAAAGCCTTGTTCCAGTACAGCTAGAAGTCTAGAACCTCACACCTAAATCAGGTCCAGGTTCAGTGAGGCTCCTCAGGTTTTGTTCCTCTTGTACAGCCCTGCTTATCTGTAGGCTGTGCACTCACCGTTCTCAGTGCTCTTCATTCTTTTGTCCAGATCCCTGTTTCCACATGGTGTCAATTTGGTTTTGGTGTACCTCTGCATAGGCTTTTTTTTAAAAAATCTCCCATGCCTCTACTTAACTTTCTGAACGTACAGAATTCAGTTTTAACTCTGAATGTCTTTATCTCCTATTTCTACCTCCTGTCACTTGTGGGTTGATGTTGATTAATTGATTTTTTTCCTCCCCTGTTGATTAATTGATTTTTTTCCTCCCCTCATTGGCCATAGTTTTCTGATTCTTTGCATGTTTGGTAATTTTTGAATTCCAAGCATTATGCATTTGACCTTGTTGGGTATTGGATATTTTTATATTTCTAGAAATATTCTTGAATTTTGTTTTTTTGGCACAGTTAAGTTACTTGTTACAGTTTGATCCTTTCAGGTTTTGCTTTTAAGATTCGGGAGGTGAAACCAGGGCTATTTTTTAGTGTGGGGCCAGTGTTCCCCCTACTGAGGCAATAACCTTTGGAGCACTCCAGCCAGTGCCCTGTGAACCGTCAGCTTTTCCAGCCTGGCTGTGGGAACAGGCACTATTCCTACCCTGTGTGAGTGCCGGATACTCCGCTCTCTGTCCTTTCATGTGGTGCTTCCCCTAGTCTCATGTAGTTTCCTCACACACTTGTACTGATTCCCCTGAATACCTGGGTTGGGGTGGGGCGGACCTTCTGCAGATCTTCAGATGTCTATGTGCAGTTTTCTCTTTGGTACCCTGTCTGTTCTGGTGAACTCGAGCTGCCTTTGTCTGTCCAGGCTCTCAGGTCCATCTCCTCAACTCAGGGCACCAGGCTTCATGTGGGTTTCCCTCCCTGCACTGCAGCCTGGAACCTCGCTCAAAGCAGTAAACTGGGGCATTCCTGATACGGACCTCATCTATTTTCCTTTTGTTCACGTTTATTTCCTTATGATTGACATATTTTATTCTGTTTTGACTTCATACGGAAGAGTAAATCCCTGTTATTCCATTTGGCCAGAAGCAAATGCTATATTATTTCATTTTATTTAAGATTTTGCCTGTTTTTCTTCTCTTCTAATTTGAACAATTAATTCCTGAACACCTGCAAGCTGAGCTGGGTCTAGTGGGTCTTCAGGGCTCAGATGGAGGCCTCTTTGTGTCCAAGAGACTCCAGAGTTTCTAAATATGTAACTTTTAATTTGAGTATTTGAAGTGATGGTAGTTGATTTCCTCTTTGATGAATTTAGTCATCCATAAGAACTCTATTCTAAAGATATGCCATGTGAAGGCACAAAAAAGAATACCTTCTTCTCATCCTAATCTGCTCTCCACTCAGAGTTTTTTGTAGTTCATGCCCTTCATCTCTACTAGTTAAAACAGTTGAATACATTCTCTGCAAAGTCACGTAGAACATTCTTAGAGGAGCAAGCAATACACCTCAGGCCCCTCTCTCATTATATGATAGCGTGAATACCAAAGAATTAGTAAACACAATTTTAAATATCTGTAGTATCATAGCTGACCTAATCAGAAGAACTACGTAATGTAGAAATGTTAACCGTAGACAGATGTTTAATTCTCAGATTCTAAAGTTGACCTTGCTATTCTTCATTATCAAATGGAAAATTGAACTGACAAATTAGAAGTTCTCCTGTAGGTCTCCTGTATGTCTCCTGTAGGTCACTCAATTTGTTCAACTTTATTTTCCTTTTAGCCTGCTCTCAAGTATGTGTTGTATGCGTTGGTCGGCTTCGTAGGTTTTGTAACCCATTATGTGCTGCCTCAAGTTAGAAAACAGTTACCGTGGCACTGTTTCTCTCACCCTTTGCTGAAGACAGTGGAGTATAATCAGTATGAAGTTCGCAGTAAGTCTTTCATTAACACCCTTTTTAATACTGTACATTTTCTTTTACTTTGTTGATAGATGACAGTTAAATTTAAGTCTGATCAAGTAACACTTTCTTATACTTAGCTGAAAGCTGCAGCGAGTCAAAGATTTTGCAGGGTGCTTTAATTTTAGTTGAAGTGTAAATGTCAGTGCTACAATGCCAACTTTCCATAGCATAAAACTTACTTCTTCCTTCTCTGAATTGTTTGCACAGACCTCATTGATGCATCCTTTTGTGTATGTCTGTCACCTCTTTTTCCAGCCCCTACTCTTTCCCTCAGTTTTCCTTGCCATATGCAGGCAACCCAATCCTCTGTAGGACTTTAATTCTTAAAACCTTATTACTTTTAGGGTAAGAGGCAGTCTAATAATCTTTAGTAACCTTTTCTCTAGAAGTTATAAGCAAAAGTGAGAAAAGGTTAATGCTTAAAAACTGAGGCTTTAAGAATGTTTAAAATGAAATTCATCTAAATTTAAGTCAATGTCAGTTGCAAAATTGGATGTGTCTCAGAAATCATAAAAGTTGACGATTGATTGAAGTACTGGATTTCTTAACATTATTTATTTATAGTACAGCTGAATTTGAGTTGTAAGATTTTCCTTTCTCATCACATTACCAAACTATTTTATGCATTTGACGACGTTTGCTCTTCTTGACTCATATTCCCTTGTCAGATGCAGCCACTATGATGTGGTTTGAGAAACTTCATGTGTGGCTTCTTTTTGTGGAGAAGAATATCATCTATCCATTGATTGTTCTCAATGAACTGAGTAGCAGCGCAGAGACAATTGCGAGTCCAAAAAAGCTGGACACCGAGTAAGTATAAATCACTCACCTAAGGTTGGCTCCTGGGGGCGGTCACGAGCAACGCCTTAAGCCATCCATCAAGTAACAGACAGGCATCAAGCGCCTCTGTGGTGCAGGGCGCTGGGAGACAGAACAGGTGAAATTCTGTCTTTGACGTCCCTTTCCTGAACATCTGTTTCTGCTCTTGGCTTGTCACTACTCCAGACATCTCATTGTCAATTGATGTTTTATGACAGGACATTTATTATATAAGGTTAATGGTTAATCTTTAGTATTAGATGGTAAGTTTGGGAAATGGTTATTTTTGTGTACTGTGTAAATTAGACGATATATAGGCATCATGTAGACCTACCCGCTAGACTAGGTACATGTTGTTTGGTAAGATTTAATTATGTTTTTTTACGTGTTAAATGCTATTAATGTTAAAACAATAGAAATATTGAGAAACTGGAGAACTAAATGTCAGAATTACAGTACTATTAACTTATTTTTAAAACATGCTTATTTATATAAAGGTTAAGAATCATAATACATATTATTAGAAGGGACTATTTTGATAAGTTTATTACGGGATATGATTTGCTCAGCTATATAAATCATTTTTAGAAGTTTAAATTTTGTATATATACATATATGTGTATACTCGTATGTATTTATAGTAAGCTTAGTAAATGAAATGGTGATTTTCCTGAAGTTAATAGATTTTCTAAAGTTTCTGGTCATTGTTTGGTAAGTTGTGCTTTCTTTTTATTGTAGACTAGGTGCTTTAATGATCACCATTGCTGGTCTGAAGTTGCTACGATCCTCTTTTAGCAGCCCTACGTATCAGTATGTCACAGTCGTCTTCACTGTGCTGTTTTTCAAAATTGACTATGAAGCTTTTTCAGAGACCATGCTGTTGGACCTCTTCTTCATGTCCATCCTCTTCAACAAGGTAATTTATCACTGAAAGGAATATCTCTGTCTGTAAAAAGTATCTCCCTAAGTAATAAACTATTTAGAGAGGATTATCCTTGCATTTCTTTTCACTTCATTTTCTTTTAAGCAATATTTTTCTTAACCAGTTATTTAGAAGCATATTTGAATCCCTAAACAATGCTAGTCACCGTGATTCCTAAAAAACATATTTTTTGCTATAGATAGGAATATAGGATTAAATTGTATGGAAAAATTTAAGAGAAACACTAATAAGTGTATGCTTTTAAATATATGGGATCTTCCAAAAGAGGCTATGGTTTGAATAATTTCAGAAATGGACATGGTAATAATTGGATTGGGTTGTGGGCTGCTGGATAGAAGGACGGAGAAGATCACCTGGTAGCTGATTGAAGATTGTGGATACGGAGGACAGTGAGGTCATGTGGGAGAACTCAGAACTTAGTTTGATGATGAAACCGGGTCTTCTGCCTCCCATTTCAAGAATCTTTTTGCTGAACCACACTACCTTTCTAAATGAAATAGGTTGTGCAGTCAGATTATTTGTAAATTAAATAGAGCTTAGATTTCATGTTAACACTGACCACATACAAAGGACTTTGACATATATTATCCCATTTGATAGGTAACAGCTGAAGCATATGAGCAGCTACAAAACACAATGAAAGCCCAATTTTAGGAAAGTTAGCCTGGTCAGCCACATTTGGGATGAATTGGGGAAGAGAGAACCTAAAGGTATGGAGAACAGCTTAAGAGTTTGTGACAGTAATTTAGATGTGATAGAGATCTGACCTAGGATGGGAACAGCACAGATGGATCCATTTATCTGAACAAAGTTTAGTGATGGTCAATTTCCAACTATTATGCTAAATATTGTGAAAAAATAACTCCTAAAATATTGCAATGTTATATTTGTTCAATCACTAATTTGTATGCATTTTTATCATTTATTTCCTCTTCTAGTGAGCATGGTTAACCAAAGGAGGAAGCCAGAATGTTAGAAAATTGTTTGTATAAAGAAGCATGTGGTGTCTGACAAATTTAAATATTTAGATTGGAAACTGTATTGCATCTTTTTATCCTGGTTGGAAAAAAGTGAAAGTTGCAGTAAAATATAAACCAAACAATCCTTGAATCACTACACTTAACACGTGTTAGTAATTGTTTTTGAGAGCATGCCATGTTCCAGAACTGTTCTAGATGCTTAGGTGACATCAGTGAACAAATGAGAGAAAGCTCTGCCCTTGAGGAGTTTGCATTTTATATGGTCACTTGATGGAACAGTGATGATAAGCAAGTAAGAGTGAAATGCTCTCCTTAGATTTCTTAAGATATTGTAAGATGCACCATCGATTTAATAACCTTTCAAGAAAAAAATTACTCTAAATGTATACAAAATATTTTTACCTACTAACCACTTAACCATGTAATTGCATATTATTATTTCTTCAGTATTAGAGTCAGAGTACAGTCTGTCTCACATTTAGAATCTGAAGTTTTCTGAATCACTGCTTAAAAGCAGTTATAATGGCATCGTGATAATATACATGCTGCTTTTACTTCCTGTCATCCTGATCACATTAGTACCGAAGATTGCCAGCATAATTTTGAGTCATGACACAGAATATAGGGATTCATCTGCAAGTGGTTGAAGTTGTGATTTCTTTTTCAAATGGAAAGTTACATACGTTCATTGTAAATAAGCTAAACGATTTAAATATGAGGTGTTTGGTGTGTGAATCAGAGGTTAGTCAGAATCTCTTGCTGTTAAGATTCTGTGTTCTGTTTTGAGGATTGGGCCTTGCAGAGGCAATCTTGGGCAAATACAGTAATTCTGTTTCAGTGTTGAAGTCATGGTCAATAAAACAGATCCTAATTGAAATAAGATTTAAAAATGTATTGTGTTTCCATTGACAATAACAGTTGAGATTATGAACAGATGCCCAATATACACTACTAAATTTTTAGGCAACCAGGCAATGACAACTGTATTACAGCTTTTGCTCTTGCCTAGCTGCTTTCAAATTCCTTTTGACATTGCATTAAAACATACTCAGTTTCCAAAGCACTAAATTTGAGGGAAATGTCTTAGAATCAAAATATATGTGTATTAGTTAAGCTTTAAAGACATCTAGATTCTCTACTTTTCTTTGTTTTGCTTGCAGTAGTAGTAATGTAGCCAGTAGAGGACATAAAATTTTTTAAACAGATGAGACACAAATCCGTACATCAGCTAGCTGTTTTTACTTAAAAATGTATAGCTTTTTGGCAGCTGATACATCTTTTCCTTTTATGCAAGGAAAATAATTTCAGTGCCATTTCCCTATTAGGTAGAAAATTCGTTTTAGAGGTCTTTCATTTTCTTTTCAAATATCTGATAAGATTTTTACTGATTGTTTTTTTTTTTTCCTCCTACAGCTTTGGGAACTCCTTTATAAATTGCAGTTTGTGTATACTTACATTGCCCCATGGCAAATTACTTGGGGTTCTGCTTTCCATGCTTTTGCTCAACCCTTTGCAGTGCCCCGTATCCTTCTAATAAATATTTTATAAGAAAGGGCAGTCATATCCTTGGTGAGAATGTTGGTTTGTAGTCATAACCTTTCACAGGCATAGAATATAGGTTACTATGTGATAAATTATCAAAAATTTGCAATTCTTTGAGTCCACACCTGTACTGATTTTGATTGTTTAACTTGTATTAATATCTGTGGCCCACAAATCATCTGAACATGAGAAAAGTATAGAGGTTTTATTAAGTAAGTAATTTACAAATTTTGTTTACATATGTGAGTATTAAAGTCCAGGAATTTTCAGTAAATATAAAGTATGTTTAGACATATTTTTAAATGAATGAAAATACAAACATTTTTCATAATCATATGATTTTAATTAAACTTTATGTCCAAAATCTGTTCTCATCATTTCTTAAGAGTACTTTCTAAGTAAAAGTAAAGGTTAGTGACCACCTAGATGTTGAAATGCAGACTCTTTATATTTGTATAAATTTTAGTTTTATCTTCTGGAAAATGAAATTTAAGCACCTCTAATATATTTAAGTGATATGAGGTTGGACAATTAAGTTCATGAACTCCTCAAAGTACTCACCTTGGGAAGCTGTGCACTGATGCCAGTGCCTAGTCCACTCTTCAGAGCAATTTTGGAAC